CCCCCAGTAATAAAATCGTATGTCGATCGTTTAAAACAGTCCGACAATACTTTCACTCATTAAAAAACGCACATTCTAGTCAGTGGACAAGACATGTGTTGAAGCATTAAAAAACCAGCCTCATCTTCAATACACATTTAGCCATCTCAAAATTATAAAGTTCTATCAGCTCAATACCTAGTTTTGATAAAGTTGAGGTCACCATACGATATTTTAGTTTCACAACTTGTCAAGCTATTTCGAATGCAACTCTTTTAATATCTCCGATTAATCTTAAACTTTTGACAGAGCCGATAAAACATTTGGATTCTGACCTTAGTGACTGTCTTAGTAACTCAAAAGGGCCAAAACTGTCAGATAGAACTTTGTTTTTCTAAGGTAGGGATTTGTCAATTCTTGGGTTTTTTTGTTAGAAACTTGATAAAGCAGGCAGCAAAATGTATATTACACAATATGCAATTCGTTGGTCTAATGTGTCCATGATGGTCCAGAATGTAACGTTACATCGAAACATTGCATTGTTGTGCTATAATCGGATGTAAGAATAAGCTACTAACCTTTTATTTTAGGGTATATTTTTTTTGCTCACCAATCGAAACAATTTAGACCATTTAGGAGGCAGGCTTCTTCTGACCCTGCCTGTCATGGCCAACCAGGGCTGAAAGGGATAGATTGAAATTCCAAATTAAAATTGTCCCCATTCCGGAATCGAACTCGGGTCACCTGCGTACGACAGCGAGGCCACTAACCGCTGCACAACAGACGTCGGTGCTCACATATCCGCTGTGACCTTAAAGAGTTAAAATGAGCAACAAAAAAGGAGGTTCCTGTGACATCATAACATCTCGTCGATCGTGAGGAACGCTAGAGACGTGAGAGGCTGAAGAGCCAGCTGAGAGGACTTTCTTTTTCATTTAAATAAAAAATAAAAGGAAAACCTCATTCATTTCTAAAGAACTTTCGGAATGGCACGATTGCCGCTTAGAAAAGTGGAGTTTTTCTTCTCTACACCTTTTTTCTGTACACCTTTTTCAAAATCTTTCGAAGAGAAAGGCCAGGACGAATTGGGGGTTTTTTTTGGAGAGGGGTTGGGGGTGGGGGAGGATCAGCTATGGGCAAGTTTCATCTGCGATGATCTCAACCTTGCACACAAAATAGACAAATTACCAATTTCTCAAGAATATGTTTTAAGACCTGGCTCGACTGTTTCTCTTAAGCATTGCATACAATGTTGAACACATACACATGTAGGATGAAAGTCACAAAAGTTTAAAAAAATTACTTTAAAAATACATTTCATGAATACTGTTATAATAATTGGATAGATATTGACACCTAACGAGCAACCGAAAAGTAGGATATTATTTAACTTTGCTAAATACAAGCAAATATTTAACAAACTGCGGAGGAATCTCGTATCAATTAGGGCGTTCATGACGCTGTCCGTTCACTGCAAAATGTAGCAACGCCCCTCCCCCCTCCCCAAAAAACAAACCCCATAACAAAGCAGAACAAAAATAAAACAAACAAACAAAAATCAATGACTTCACTCTCTTTTAGCAACTGATCTTGATATCTTATATGCTCTATAAGGTCATCTTGCCACCTTCGTTCTGGTCTTCGTATTGATCGTTTTCCTGTTCTTGGTCCTCATTAAAAGGATCTTTTTTGTCATTCTGTTATCCTTCAGTTTATTCATGTAACCAACCCGTTCCCAATTTTATCGGAGTATAAATTTGGGAATTTCTTCTTAACTAATTGTTACCAGTACTGGGACACTTGATAGATATAAAATATACCTTGAACATATAGCTCTCACTGGCAAACTTGAATGCAGACGAGGCAGGGATATACCCAGAGCAACCTGTGAGCCTTAAAAAAACTGGGAGACTGTTTCTTTAAAGCATGCAAGCACAGGGATGAATGGAGAACCACGTTCGCTTGTTCAAAATGGCAGCTTGCCTTGCATGCTTCCCAGAAAGTTGAGATTGTTTCAAAATGCTATCAGACCTGCTTTCTTAGAATATAGATTTAAAGCACATGCATGCATTTTCCTGTTAAGTGGGGATTTCTGCTATTCAAATAATATCTATTTCCAGTATTGGGACCTTGAAAATTGAAAGCAAATAAAGCAAGGGTTAGACACAAAGCAACCTACTTGAGAATCTATAAAATAGGTGACCGGGAAAGATCAGAATAACTTTTTGGGTTTTTTTGTTTTTGTTTTTGTTTTTTAGAGCACTCGAACAAAGAAATGAACGGAGAGCAATGATCGCCGACGTGAGAGGCAGCTATTCTAGCACTTGACGATGACAAAAAGAAAAAAAACCCAAACACTTTTCTGTTTTTCTCTTCTCTTCAGCCCATCGTGTTCAATGTCCTGCGGGGGCCTTTCAAAGAAGTGTTTTACCAGTGTGTCACCTTCGGCTCGTACGACAGTGCCTGGCAACTGCAGATGTACGCCATCGCCTCCCTCATGCTCATGTTTGTGCTGCCTCTGGCCGTCATGGGCACAGCCTACGGGCTCATCTTCACCACTATCTCCAGAAAGTCCAAGGAGCATTCGGGTCAGTACATTATTTATTAATTAATTAATTAATTTCTGTTTTCTATTTATTTATGAATTTATTTATTTATTTATTCATTTATTTAGTAGTAGTAGTAGTAGTAGTAGTAGTAGTAGTAGTAGTAGTAGTAGTAGTAGTTAGTAGCAGTAATAGTAATAGTTGTAGTAGTAGTAGTAGTAGCAGTAGTAGTAGTAGTAGTAGTAGTAGTAGTAGCAGTAGTAGTAGTTGTAGTAGCAGTAGTAGTAGAAGTAGTAGTAGCAGTAGTAGTAGAAGTAGTAGTAGTAGTAATAGTAGTAGTAGCAGTAGTAGTAGTTGTAGTAGCAGTAGTAGTAGTAGTAGTAGTAGTAGTAGTAGTAGTAGTAGTAGTAGTAGTAGAAGTAGTAGTAGTAGTAGTAAAGGCAAGCAATTGTAAAAGGCAGGAGAGGAAGGGACGACGTGATGGGGCTATGTCTTTGATGTGAGGCAGCGTGGTGGAATCAGGCACTCGTCAATTTTTGAGCATGTAGAGTTATTGGTATCACCTTAAAGCTTGTTCACATGACTGTATTTGAATGAAAACAATATCCATTCATCTTGAATACAAGTCGAGACATTTGCGAATGAAGGAGGTGGGGGTCACCTGTTTTCAGAGGTTAAATTAGTGAGAAAATGGCAACCAAAGATTAGTTATTTCCTTAGCTTAAGAGTCCGTGGTAACTGAAAATTTACATTTTGTGTTCCTTTAATCAACGTTTTTAAGAAAAATCCACACAGAAATGAGTTCTTTAAGGGGCATGAAAGGTGTTAAGCCAAAAAAGAAAATGTGATAAAAATTCACAAACCTGCGGGAAAATGCCAGTTTCTTCACTTTGATTATTTTGACGAGAGCCTGATTCCACCACGCTGTCTCACATATCACTTTTTAATCAGTTTTTCCATTTGATTTAGCCAATAACATTACTCCAGTGAAGTTTTATGAACCCCTCAAGACATTGTTTGACCACAAACTTCAGCCCGTAAACCTGTGTGTGACCCAAAGAGGTTGGTGTGGCCCTGAGCAAAGATAGGAACAGGGCATTCAATCCTACGCTAGCTTGAAACCAAAACAACTCAGGAATGAAGAATGGCAAGGGAAAACGTGTTGTATTGCAGACAGGCCAGCATAAAAACGTTCAATAAAATGGAGCAACCTTTGTAGGAGAATATGTAAGAAAATACAGCAGGTATATTTTGGTTTAATATCAGCTGTAACGTCAGTAGCAAACACGTCATCATTTTGTTGTGCAGTGAAGAAAAAGATCATGGTTTTGGACACCTCCTGGATTTCCTTTTTTTTCAAAATGATAATATAATGTTTATATATATATATATATATATAGTTAGTGTGTGTGTGTGTTTATACATAAAAGATTATATATATATATATATATATATATATATATATATATATATATATATATATATATATATATATATATACATATATATATAGATATATAGATATATATATATATATATATATATATATATATATATATATATATATATATATATATACATATATAACTATAACTACATATTTATACATATACATCTACACACATACATACATAAATATATATATATATATATACATATATAGATATATACGTATAAATATACATATAAAGATATATTTATATATATATATATCTATATATATATATATCGGTAAATATATGTAGACTCATCTATCCATATCGGTATATATATCTATATATATATAGGTGGACGATCGCGTTGTACTAGAAATATATTTTTATCTATAGAGAGTCATGGCTGAATACAAAGACAGAGAGACAGGGATAACGTTACAAAGTTCTGATGGTTTTTGACAGATAGAGTTTCCAGTAATTTCTTAGATGACCACCCTATTAGT